GGATGAAGAATTGAAGAAATGCTGCAGGAGCCAACTGACCCGAAGGGACAGTGTTGAGATGCTGTAGAGAGTGTCTCAACGCTGTGACAAGAAGGCGAAAAACAAAAGGCACGTGCATTTGGTATTTGATGCTGGTGGTGGTCGTCAAATCTATAAATATTGCACTTTCGTTTAAGGTTTGTTTCAACCGAAAATTGGGATTATTTTGTGGCAGTTCAAAGGCAACGGCTCGAGGGTGTTGGCAGCAGATTGGAGAGACCAAGATCGTCTTATTTGAGGTAAATATTTCTTGATCATATTGTGTGTTTTTCATTCCTTACCCAAGTATATTGTGTTAAATACTTAGAAGCTGAGGGGCTTTTGTTGGGACCTCTAGAGGGTGAATATTTGGGTGAGAGATATTGAGAGTGCTTGTATCCAATTCTTATTATTAGTGGAACATGCATCTAAGTGGAATACTAAACATAGTCTATAAACTATTGGGGTGAGCCAGTATAAACTATCTGTGTCGTTTATTGCTTTACCTTAATGTTGTATTGTGTTGTGTGGTTGGCTTTGTTTATCTGGATATCTATGGAAGGGGAAATTGTTTTGGAACGCCTAATTTCCCAACACCAACAACACTCCAACAGTTCTCCGACAGCTCCGAGAATGACTGCATGTTGTCTAAGATTCTGTTTGAGGTTTGCGCCGATACTATTGAAGGTCGACTCGTTCTTTGAAAAGGTTGGTCGAGATGAGAAAGATGAGTCGACTAATCGGCATCACTTGTCGATAATTTACCTCCAACATGAACTTTCAAAAAGGGTTATTTTAGTCTCGATATTTTAAAAAATAACTATTTTAGTCTTCAAACTTTAAAAATGTTTATTTTAGTTCTTGAAATTAAAAAAAAGGTATTTACTATTACTATGTCACCTATTTGTGTTCATTCATCAACCCATATACGTGGCTTCAAATTCAATATATGTACACATCACACATATTCAGAACGAACAACTAATAATAAAATAAGCATAATACCTAAAAATAATTATTTTTAAAAATTTATGTACTAAAAAATATATTTTAGTGTTTTATAAAAAAACAAAATCAATTTTAAAATTGTAAAACTAAAATACGTATTTTAAAATTTTATCACCTGGAATATCATTTTGAACAAAACAAATAATATCGTATGAAACAAAATAATGAAAATTGTCGGTTGTGGCCTGTCTGCATTGGGCGGTTTTGCCGGCGAAAAGTCTGAGACTTTCAAAAGGGAATTTTGTTTTAAAAAAACAAATTATATATTTATTTAATTATAACTATAATCTCCGTAATTGAATGGTTGTCTATTTAATCTTAATATTTAATTATATAAATATTTTTAGGAAAAAAAACTGCATTTTAGAACTTCTCAAACTATTTTTTATCATCAAAACTTTTACAAACTGCTATTAGCAAAATCACTTTTAAAAATTTTAATCACTGCCGATTATGGAAAAGTATTCTCCACTATTTATAAGTACTCTCAAAATCATATCAAACACACTTAGTCTTTAAACTTTAAGTCAAACTAAAAAAAATCTTTGAACTTCAAAAAGTTTCATTTTATTTTGAATTTTGATTTCTTTAAATACTAAAGTTATTGTTGTTAATGTTGGATCAGTAAGGAGTGTAAATCTCACCTTCGAATAGAGTGATCCATGTATGTAAGATGTATATAAGGAAGGATAATTATCTCATTTGGTATGAGACTTTTTTAATGAAATAAAAAACAAAATTGTGGAGGTTATGTCTAAAGTGGAGATACTTGAGGGTACGAGGTTAGTTGCTCGGGCATTGGAATCAAGTTCGATCGCAAGCGATCAAGTTCGGCAATTTTCGAACTAGTTTCCAAACTCGCGCCTTGGAAGATTTAGACCCAGAAAACACAATATGTGCTTCGACCACATCTTCGTAACTCCAAATACCCGGATTCGTTATAATCCCTCGTGTGATACTCCAACCCCCTATGAGTTGGTTATTTCTAAACGAGTCACATGAAGGGTATAACGAACATACCTTGTCTCCACATTGAATCAAAAACATAATTGAAGAGATAAAAAACTACTAATTCGTATAAGGCCATTGAACTGGCCCAACCAAGAACTAGAGCTATATCCATTATAGGGGGCAATTGCCTCTTTATATTTTTTTTTAGTATAATGCGTGAGATGTGGTTCGAACTCACGACCTCTTGATTGGAGATATGTGTCAATTACCATTGAATTATGTTTGCTTTAGCGCCTCTCAATAATTTAATCCCTTCACCAAATTTTCATTTAGTGTCAGTATCATGTTATAATCATCACTTATTTGTCCAATCGATACGTTGCATTAACATTTAAGTTAGTATTAATGACACTAACTTATAAGAATAAAAAATAAAAACTCAACGGTCCACATGAACATGGCTAAGCATTTACTGCTTCTCGAAGAAGTCAAGTTCAAATCTCTAACTCCCAATTTTTATATTAAAGACAAGTTCTAAGACTTTTTTTTTTTAACAGAAAATAGTACTTCTTGAGGGTACGCAAGGGGTTCTAAGACTAATTAAATTGACATAATTTAACTTATATTTTAATTGGTACTTTTTATGATATTTTGAAAAATACAGTCCATTTTAAGCAAAACTGTCTATTTAAGTGAGGATTTTACTATAAGAAATAAGATATAAATTATGTATGAATATAAAAATATTTGAAGGTAAATAACTTTTTTTTTTCATGTTATTAATAAAATCGTCCATTCAAACATGCGATTTGGTCTTTGTTTACATAAATTGTGTTGAGATCATAAATTGAACAGATAAACTTAAAATTATTAACGCTGCCGGTTTCAAAATATTTTTTAAACTACCGTATATTTATATTTATATAAAAAGCTAAGAATATAGGCATATTTTAGTCGGTAAACATATTGCTCCTTCTCTAACCTCGGTCAAGAAATTTCAACAAATAATTTTAAATTATGTGATTCATTATCATATTTGCGACAATTAGAAATGAGTTAAATTAAATTTTTTGTTGGTAAGATTATTAGAAAGGAAAAGAGAATAAAATTTTTATTGATTTAGATTTGTAATCTAAATTTATTAATTAAAAATTTAAATATGAGTAATTTATTCTGAAATTTTATGAAATCTTGTAAAATCCGACCATTTTTATCCAAATTTTTTTACATAAAAATAGGATTATTCAAAATCATGAGGTAGTAAACAACAAAATTAATTTTGCATCATGATTTTGAAATCCCTCGAAATTTGAAGTAACTAATAGAACATAAAGGTCGGAGGTTCAATTATCCATCCTAGTATTTATTGCAAATTAAAAAAAAAAAAGAAACTAACAATAAATTCACCCAAAACTCCCTTCAAAATGAGAAATAATTATTTAAAAAGAAAAGGAGAAAATAATTATGAAATTTTTTCTATTTCTCAGTACGGTAACAACTAGGATGAGAATTCGAACCTACAATTTTTTTCTTTGAGAACATGGTAATTTTGATAGAGACCGCATGAACAAACAATTTAGCACAGTTGGAATCTTCAATTAATTTGTTTTGTTCAATTCTCCTAAGCTAAGTCATGCATATACAACCACCATCTTTATTTTTTTGTTTCTTACCATATAAATTGGAACTAAATTTTGTTACACAGCAATGAATTCGAGCTACTACCTACTATCAATGAGTTTATTGTACTAAAAGCGGTTATTAAAGATAGATTAGATGAAATTATAAATTTAAACAGTCGATTCTTAACCTAAATTTAAAGCTCTCATATTTATTTCCTTTTTAATTTTAATTGCATCTCTAAAATTAAAAACTCTTCCTTTTCCTTCTTTTCTATTTTAAAAATCTCATTTGACTAAAATTTATAGTTGAATTCTTAAAAACATAAAATATTAAAGTTTCTTCAACTTTGTTTCCTAAAAAATATCATTGAGTGTTAAAGTAATTTAAGTTTCGATTAGAAAAATAAAAACTTGTTCTTATTTTGCTGACCAAGGTGTCATTGACTTTTGAAAAGTTGGTGGACGCTTAAGATATTACTTATTAGCTGGATGAATTTAAATAATACAAAAATTAGTTTTACTTTTTCATTTTGCTTTCCGATTTTTCTTTTTTTAATAATACAAAAAACTAATGATGGTTCTTGTTTTTATTTTCTTTTATGTGTAACGATTTAGTTCTTAAACTTTACTTTGTAATAATTTAGTCCATATGTTTTCAAATTAACAACAATTTTGTCCTTAAACTTTAATGTGTAATAATTTAGTCCATGTATTTTAAAGTTTATAAAGATTTAATCCTTAAATATTGTTAAGATTTGATAGAGTTTCTTATGTGTAGATTGAATATACAAATATGTTTATAAATTACAAATACTTAATTGTTGTATAATAAGAATTCAAATTTAATATTCGTGAGATTTTTTTTCTGAATTAAATTTTGAAATTATAGGAACTAAATTATTACACAATAAAGTTCAAGAATTAAATATTTACCAACTTGAAAGTACAAATACTAAATCGTTATAAACTAAAATTCGAGGTCTAAATCGTTACTTTAGCAAAAGGACCAAAATTGTTTTTAACATTTTAAAAATTAATAATACAAAATATTAATAATTGTTATTGGTCATCTCTCTCACATTCGTACTATAATATTCTAAAAAATAAAGTAAAATAAAGAAGTATTTATAGATACTAATCACACATAAACCAAGAGCAAAACTAATTAACTAGAGTTAACCAATTCCAATTGATTCCTAATATTCTAAGTTATATTATATTGATCCAATAATATCGGTCATAATTTGGTTAACATTATTTTTTATATCCAACCATATAAATTAATATTCAACCCTTAAATTGACGACAAAAATAAATATAGAAATATAGGAATAATATGTCTTTTATATATTTATATATTACTAATTTCTTGCGTGTAGTATAAAGTCAGCTAAGGGACTATAATGCAAATTGCAGATTGTGAGGTTTGAATGAGAGAGGTGTGAAGAGGAAGAGGAAGAGGAAGAAGAGATATCATGGGTGTGACGATTCCGACCGTGGCCTTGAGCAGCAGTGGGCAGTCGATGCCGGTGGTTGGGATGGGAACGATGTCGATGACCGGGCCAGAGGTAACGAGAGCTGCTGTGGTGGAGGCGATCAGGGCCGGGTACCGTCATTTCGACACGTCGTACTCGTACCGGTCGGAGCAACCACTTGGGGAGGCCATAAGGGAGGCTTTGGAGCTTGGCCTTATAGAGTCACGAGGCGAGCTCTTCATAACTTCTAAGCTGGCCTGTGGTTTTGCTGACCCTCCCCTTGTTCTGGATGGGATTAAGGCCAGTCTCAGGTAACAAAATTTTCTCTCTCTCTAGACAAATTTTGGAGTCCCAAATAATTTTGCTAAAATAAAATAAAAAATAAATTATTTTATTGGATAAACTTTAACGGTTAATTCGTGTTTTTTTAGTTCAGCATGGGTGGAGGAATTTGAACCTCCGGCCTTTAGAGAGTAAAGTAATGTCTTGAGCAGTTGAGTTTGAGAGTAAAGTAATGTCTTGAGCAGTTGAGTTTGAATTTGTTGTGCTATTGAAAATAATTTTGAGAGAAATATGTCTGGATCTCAAATTAATTATCATAATTTTAAGGGTCAAATGCTAGTGTGCAAACAAACTATAGCAGTTTGACTAAATTGCAATCTAAACCCAAAAAAGGTCCAATCAGTTGATCCAACTTGATTCATTAGACTTTTGGCGTGCTTATTAAGATTAATCTAGGTATATTATAAACTTTTATTAGGTTCTTCGTATTTTCGATGTGTGATTCTTTAACATACCCTTCAAAAAGGCGGTTCTTTTAGGCTCACCTATCTTGGATCGAATGTTCGTCTGAACTTATTAGGTTCTGATACCATATCAAGATTCACGAGGTTTATCTCAAAACTAATTGATTTTGAGATATAATCCCATGAATATTGATAGTGCTCCGACCCTTCTCCTTTAATTTGTAATGTAATGTAATGTAGTAATAGAGATAAAAAAGATTTCCAATTTTCCCAATAATATTAAAATTTTTGTTGTGAATTTTGGGTATGAAATAATGAACATATAGGAATTTGGAATTGGAGTATCTTGATATGTACTTGATCCACATCCCATTGAAGTTGAATCCTCAAGTGCGTCAAGTGCCAGTGGCAAAGGAAGACATCTCTGCAATTGATCTCAAAGGAGTTTGGGAGAAGATGGAAGAATGCCAAACCCTTGGCCTCACCAAAGCCATTGGTGTTAGTAATTTCTCCCCCAAAAAGCTTGAGGAGCTTCTTTCCTTTGCCAAAATCCCCCCGACACTCGATCAAGTAATTACTTATATTCGTTTTTTGTTTAGTCTCGAAACTTTCGTACTTGTTTCGGTTCACTAACCGTGTTTGATACAGATTTCGTTTTTTTAGGCTCCATTTGGTAACTATTTCACTTCTTTTTGTTCTCTGTATTAAAAATTATGTTTAGAAACTTTACTTTCACTTATGTTAATTTGTTTTTTTGTTATATGGAGTTGTTACAAATGTTGTCAAAATCGAGGTCAAAATTTGAAAAAATATATATGTAATATAATTTTTAAAAACTTGTTTCTATTTTTGAAATTTTTTATTAAGAGATGGGTGAAAAAGTTACTAACAAAATGTTAAAAGAACAAAGCATAATTTTTAAAAATAGAATAGTTCTTAGATGACGTCTTATTTTTTTAAAATTTTGCCCACATCCTCTGAAATTTCTGCACTGTTACATTCTTTAACTTCTTAGAAGTTTTTCTTTTCCCCGAAAAAGGTCGTTAAAGTTTACATAGATTTTGAAAATGTTTTTTTTAGAAACTGATAAAGAAACACTTAAGAAGTGCAAAATAGTTATCCATTTATGACCTAAAATTATAAAATATCTTACATTAGTCCTAAACTTTACATAAATTTGTATAAAAAAAACTTTACATAAAATTTTATTTTAGTTTTTACCCATTAACACAAACTCAAATTTATTTGAAAACCAACACCTAACCTACTACGCCTCGCATAGTAAAAAGCACTTCTGTCGTGACCAAAAACATTCTCTCCTCCCGGATCATAATATTCGGGAGTAGCAAATAAAAGTATTTAAAAAAAAAAGTAAAAAACACTTTAAAGTTAAAAGTTAATCGTGAGGAAAGCATTTGTCTATTTGAACCAAAAGTACTTCAAAAACACTTTTAAGAGCGTATTTCTCACCGATGAAGTGTTTCATCTAACATGCAAAATTAAAGTTTTTTTCTTTTTTTTTTCCACGTAGAACACTTATTTTAGAAGTGCTTTCAAACACTTGGTCCAAATAGACATCTAACCGTAGGAGTTTTTTATAGGTGGAGATGAGCCCACTTTGGCATCAGAGTAAACTGAGGGAGTTTTGTAAAGGAAAGGGCATTCATGTAACTGCCTATTCTCCTCTGGGTGCAGTTGGGACAATGTGGGGCCATAGTAACATTGTGGAGTCTGATGTTATAGCTCAAATTGCCAAGGCTAAGGGAAAAACAACTGCTCAGGTAATAATTTATTATCATTTTATTTTTCTTTACTTTTTATACCAATATATACTAGTAAATATTCCGCTAAATATATAGTTTAGTTCCTATGGTTTAAAAAGTTTCGATTTAGTCTCTTGCATTTTAACGTTTTTCAATTTTATTCTTTCAGTTCTAAGACCTTGTTTAATAACTATTTCACTTTTAGATTTTCTGTTTTTAAAAATTAAGATTAGAAATATTACTTTCACATGTGTATTCCTTTGTTTTGTTATTTAATTTTTATTAACATTTTCAAAATTTAGGTTAAATTATGAAAATAAAAAAAGAGCGGTTTCAAAAGAGTAGAGAGAGAGGTGAAAATTTTAGTAACGAAATTGTACAAAACAAGTATATTTTTAACCACATAAAACTCAAAATGAAATAGTTATCAAGCGCATCTTAAGAAATTAATAGAAATTTATAATTTTTACCTGTGTTGTGACCTAATTTCCTACTCTAAATTTATGTCAAACTCACTAGGTATCATGTCAGGTAAGCTTTTATGATTAGTCAATTTTACAACTTATCAGTAGAAATGACATAATTATAATTTTTAAAACATGCCAACATTAAGTTATGATATTGGCATCTATCTCCAACCATAAGATTGTGGGTTCAAATCTCTCATCCTACTGATTGTACTAATTTTTTTTTTTAAAACTTATCTACTACTCGCTATAATAGCTTTGCTTCTTGGGTGGTGCAGCTCAACTAGAGTGAGCTTAGTAGTCGGCCCAATGTCTCTAGGCCCATGTGTAAAAAACATGATTATTAGTTCCACAAATCTAAAACACCCAAACATTAGAAACTAAAAAATGAGTGTATTATTTGTAGATTGCATTGAGATGGGTGTATGAGCAAGGGGTGAGCATAGTGGCAAAGAGCTTCGACAAAGAGAGAATGAGGCAGAACATTGACATCTTCGATTGGTCATTGAGTGATGAAGAATCAGCTAAGATTGCCCAACTTCCTCAGCAAAAAGCAGTTGTTTTTGCCAATGTTTATGGCCACCATGATGTGGTACTTGATCTTGATGCTGGGCTTTGAATCTCTTTACTAATCTTCATTTCCTTTGCCTTCCATATACTATAATAATAATGTGTTCTTCCCTTTCCTTAGCTTAGCTTGTAGAACTATAAAGGATTGTATTGCCGGCCTAAAGGGGCTATGGAGATCTATCTAGTTTGATGGTTTTGATTCTAATATGTAATGATGGTTAACATCGTTATTTTGGTGTTGATGCGACGACGTGCATATTGGATTAACGAGGGAAGATTTGACATGATGATGTAATGTAGAGGAGTAAGCTAGGGAAAATAAAATATGGGTGGTAGAGCCAAAATATTTATTTGATGAGCGGTGAGCAATGTTGGGGTTGCAATGAGTGCAAATAAAGTCTCACATTAGTTAGGGAAGAGAATGATGCATAGTATATAGGTGACGACAATTACCTCCACTTGTATGTGGCATTTTGGGTGAAACCAGAAGTAAAGCCGTAAGGGTTATGCCTAAAGCGGACAATATCATACAATTGTAGAGATGCTTGGGGGTACTTAGGGTACTAGATAAATCTTAGTTAGAACACGAGTTAGGTAAGAATACGATCCTAGTCATTTACAAGTACACACTTTATGAACCTTTTGACTTGCTCGTTGAAATGCCAAACACTATAATGATGTAAGCTAGGGACTCTAGTTAAAATCTCGTTTCTCTTGCAAGTACACTGGGACATGATAATAAGATAGTAGGATTTTTAAGCTCTCATGAAATATAATGAAAAGCTATTCAAGGTATCGTTCTTAGGGTTCATGCTCTAATTTCCTGTAATATTACACCAAATTGTTCACCCCAGCATGAAGCTACATCGTCAATCTTCTATGAATACAATAAATTTCACACCAATACTAATGAAGATTACAACTAAAATTCTGATAATCCTTACCAGTGTTTCACTTTATTTTCTCTTTTCAATATACTCTCTAAAACACTCTCAAAATCATGCTCTAGGTCTGCTACTAACTCTTTTCCAGATAGCCACGACTCACAAACAAGCTAAAATAAAAGAGTACATATAGACATCAAGCTCACATTGTGGTGCTAGCCTGTGCACATAAAGGGTTCTCACACTTCAGGTTGGACACTTGGTGTCATGGTCATGCTCGTCCAGGGCCTGTTGCCTGTGGCCGCATGCCCATAACAACTTCTTTCCACGTACTTTCATGTCATGTATTCAGTTTTGTATGTTTGGTGACAAGTGACTCCTTGCCACTTTGCACGTACATGCCTACCAAATTAAGTATGCCTTAGATGTAGTATAGGGGGGTACACCTAGTCATCCTCCCTACATGGCGTTGTATTATTGTCTTACCGCTAATCTATTCTCTTGAATTCAAACATACCAACAACTTTCCAAAATGCTTTCAAACGTTTTTCAAAACCTTTTTCTCTAACCTCATTTTCCAAAACCGTTTTCTCGAAAACAGGGGTGGAGGTTACGACATATAGCCGTTGTGCCACCAGCTATCCAATTTCTTGTTGGCTACTTGCTTATGGATGGAAGAAAGTGCCGCACAATCGCTTTTTGAGTCCTGTTAAAGTGCGATTGTGACAATTGGTATCAGAGCCTAATTGGCTCCTCGAGTTGGAAAACAGTAACCATGTTCGTGACGAAGCAGTTAGACAAGTCCCAAGTTGACAGACTCGTTGAAATTGAAGAACATCTATTGTTCTTGAGGGAAGTCCCTGGCAATCTTAGATATGTGGAATCTCGGTGGATGAGATCTCCACCAAAGCTTACGGAATTGAAGTCGTGAATGCCTGCATAGATGGGCTTGCTGTATGTGAGTTGATGCTTCAAGTTGAGACCCTTGAAGACAAAGTTAAGCGAACTGATAACCTTGAACGTGGCGAAAGCTCATTGAACTCAATCGTCCACATGGTGGAACGTGTAGGAGAACTGGACACCTCCCAAAAGACTATTGTTCAGATGGTTAGAGAGCTGACTGGTGACTTTACAGCTGCAATTGACGATGTGAGGGTGGATATTGCTGAGTTAAACACCAAAGTGAATCTCACCATGAGAGCAATGAGAAATCAAGCACCAGTAAGGGGACCTATTCAGTTCAACAAGGTGAAAATTCTAGAGCCTAAGCCTTTTTGTGGGGTCCGAGATGCTAAAGCTCTCGAAAATTTCATCTTTAATCTTGAATAGTATTTCAAGGTGACAAGCACTGTGACACAAGAATCGAAAATCACATTAGCCACAATGCATCTTGCTGAAGATGCAAAGTGTGGTGGAAAGCGAGATATATAGACGTCCAAGAGGGCAGATGCACCATCAAAACCTCGGAAAAGCTAAAGCAGGAACTTAGATCTCAATTCTTCCCAGAAAATATAGAGATCCTCGCCTGCCGTAAACTGCGTGAATTGTAGCACACACGAAAGATTCGAGATTATGTAAAGCAGTTTTTGGGGTTGATGTTAGACATCTGAGACATGTTCAAAAAAGACAAGGTTTTTGCCTTTGTGGAAGGCTTGAAACCGTGGGCCCAAGCTAAGCTGTACGAACAGAAAGTGCAAGATATCACTATCGCTTATGCCACAGCCGAATGACTGTTTGATCTTAGCAATGATACTTCGTAAGAGCAAAGAAAGACCCAAGCTTCTTCTAGCAGTGGAAACAAGCCCATTAGATCAGGGTCCCCCAAAAGTAGGGGGAGTAGACAGAAACGGAGGGGGAGACCATAGACCCTTCCAGCAAAGAGGTGGAAACACATGGAGAGAGCTGAATCCACAAAACAATAACAACCGAACTGGACCCTTCTGCTTCATCTGTAAAGGACCATAGAGAGTGTACGAGTGTACGAATCGAGCCGTCCTCAGGGCCTTCCAAGCCACGTTGACGAACAATCAAGAGATCGAATCGGAAGGCCCCGAAACGAACACCTCCCGAAGACGCTGATGATAACCCTTGCATGGGAGCACTTAAATTCTTATCGACTCTTCAGAAGAAAGTTGAGGGGGGTGAAAGAACCATATCAGTGAAGACTGATATATGTCGAAGCTTGGGTTAACCAGAAGGCCGCAAAGAGCACGATGGTAGATTCTAGTGCCACACACAAATTCATGACTGATACCGAAGTGCGTCGTTTGAACTTGCGATGGGATAAGGACACAGGAAAGATGAAAGTTGTCAACTCGGCAGCCCTCCCCATCAAGGGAGTATTGGGTTTTATGCCCTAAACTCGTGGTTTGTAAACATAAAACAAATATTCATTCAATAAAGTTGTTATTGATAGAATTGCATTAACCCAAATCCAATAAACAAACATCGAGGTTATGTCATGTAATTGGAATAGTATATAACAGATATACAGTATATATTTAATATACATGTTATATATTTGATATACAGTGTATATATATACAGTATATATTCGATATACAGGTGAATAATGTTCCAGTAGTAACCTAAAGGGTCTATAGTAAATGGATAAGGTTGAGTACCCTATCCTGGTAACACTCTGGATACAGCCCACTTTGTAATGGTTACAAATGATTTGATCCAGGTCGTTCGTGTGGAGACATGCGAGTGGGGGTATCCTATACAATGTGCTTGTATAAAACCGGACCACGAAATAATTAATCTTTAGCTGTAACATCGTTAGCTAATAGATTAATATTTCAATAAGATGACCGGGTAACTCGATCTCAATCCTGAGTGAGTTATGAACTCCTGCCTGTTAGGGCTAATCCTTTGATTTGTATGGGTGAGAGTGGCCCAAGTCGCCGACTCAATATTCCTACCATTTTGGGGACAAGACCGAGTGGGGAGCTAGGAACATAACTAAGATGAAATTCACTCATTCCTGACTTTAGGGTAAGTAGATGCGTGTTCTCTTAAGTGCTGACTCCCAGACTTGAACAAGGGGCCCCACCCTCTCACTGGCCCGAGAGAGACTTTCGATTATTGGTTAGACCATAACCGGGTTGTTCATTAGAGGATCAGCGGTACTTAAGGTACAAGATGTAACACAGGGATAAAACGGAAATTTGACCCAGCTGTGGTTACGAACACTCGTGAAGGATTGACTTACTATTAATGGTCAAAATCCATGGAAGCAAAATATTCTACAATGAGAAGAGTGTAACTGTGGGTTTTTAGTGGAGTGACTGACAGTTAACGAATGTTAATTAATATGATTAATGAGTTTAATCAATTAATCTCATATCGTTGGAGCTTCTGAACTATAGGTCCATAAGGTCCCCTTGCTAGCTCGTAAAGGATAGTTAAGAACATTTAGTCTTGAGAAAAAAATTTGAATTCTTCAAATTAGTTAAAGGGAATTAAGGTTACTTGTATGAGATGCAATTAATATAATGTATCACTACGACAAATTTGCCTTTTCTTGACAGGCAATGCCCGTCATTAAAGAGTAACCATGTCAGTCAATGACCAACATCTATTCGAGTGTCCTTATTTCTTTTTCAATCACGGACAATCTTAATGTCGGGTATTGCCCGTCATGTAAATCTTCTTAATATAACTTGAATACTAGTTGAAGAGAATGCAAAGAAAGAAATCAAGTAGATTCATGGAGAAGTATCTTAAATTAATACTAAGCATAAGATTTAACAACACCATATTAACAAGAGTAGTGGGCACTTAGCCTCTCAAAAAATGGTGCCATCTCAAAAAAAATGTTCAGTAGAACAAGAAGACTAAAGGAACAAATTCAACTAAATGATAGAGAAGAGCATAAAAGAAAATGTTCAACAGAAACGCCATGAAACATACTTGGAAACATGGCCCAAAACATTTTTTATTATCTAAGTTCTAACCATTTTGGTTCAAAATTCATTTCAAAATGACCCTAAAGACCAATTGGTTTTATTTTTGAAAAAGAAAAGAAAAGGTAAAGAAATAAATTTTGCCAACATAAGGAAATGATAAGGCAGACAAAATCACAAACCTAAAGGCAAATAAAACTAACATATAGAAATTGGCATACATTACAATTTACATGCTATGGAAAGAAAAACTAACATCATGACCATTAGAAACCAACATTATATGGCATAAATATCAAGACCAATTAATATAAACAATCATCTTCAAAGACATCTCCAAATACAATTATTTAAAGAGATAAGTCTCAAGAAATAAAATAAAAGGACGAATTCGGTAATACAAAAACACAAGCCAAAAAAACCAAGAGAGCCATAAAA